GGGTAGAGGGGTGGCGGAGGGCATTAGTGGATGGGGGCTGAGTTGGTGTGTTGAACCTTCCCCTGCACAGCAGCTGCTCCAGAATGACTGGGGCGACGAGAAGGGGGGAGGAATGATTGGAGTGAGCAGCAAGGACGGGTAAGAGCAGGTGGGCAAGGAGGGATAGGGGCGAGGTGTGAGTGACGAGGAGAGGCAACAAGATAGAGCGAGCACCTCCTGGCTGAAGCTCAAAGCCGCCGACTTCAGGAAATCACTGCTGGTGCACGAGAGGCACGGCACAGGAGGGCGGCACAAGAAGTCACAGACACGGCACAGGAGGGCGGCACAAGAAGTCACAGACACGGCACAGGAGGGCGGCACAAGAAGTCACAGACACGGCACAGGAGGGCGGCACAAGAAGTCACAGACACGGCACAGGAGGGCGGCACAAGAAGTCACAGACACGGCACAGGAGGGCGGCACAAGAAGTCACAGACACGGCACAGGAGGGCGGCACAAGAAGTCACAGACACGGCACAGGAGGGCGGCACAAGAAGTCACAGACACGGCACAGGAGGGCGGCACAAGAAGTCACAGACACGGCACAGGAGGGCGGCACAAGAAGTCACAGACACGGCACAGGAGGGCGGCACAAGAAGTCACAGACACGGCACAGGAGGGCGGCACAAGAAGTCACAGACACGGCACAGGCGGCACAAGAGCAGAACGCACAGGAGGGCGGCACAAGAAGTCACAGACACGGCACAGGAGGGCGGCACAAGAAGTCACAGACACGGCACAGGAGGGCGGCACAAGAAGTCACAGACACGGCACAGGAGGGCGGCACAAGAAGTCACAGACACGGCACAGGAGGGCGGCACAAGAAGTCACAGACACGGCACAGGAGGGCGGCACAAGAAGTCACAGACACGGCACAGGAGGGCGGCACAAGAAGTCACAGACACGGCACAGGAGGGCGGCACAAGAAGTCACAGACACGGCACAGGAGGGCGGCACAAGAAGTCACAGACACGGCACAGGAGGGCGGCACAAGAAGTCACAGACACGGCACAGGAGGGCGGCACAAGAAGTCACAGACACGGCACAGGAGGGCGGCACAAGAAGTCACAGACACGGCACAGGAGGGCGGCACAAGAAGTCACAGACACGGCACAGGAGGGCGGCACAAGAAGTCACAGACACGGCACAGGAGGGCAGCCTCTGATAATTGCTGCTGCGCTTCCCAACAGCCTCATCGCACTTTGCAGGGGGGGGGTACTAGCAGGTCGGCATGGAGGGCAGGGAGGGCAGGGAGGGCACTACTGCCACGATGGAGTCATGGAAGGGGATGGAGTCATGGAAGGGGATGGAGTCATGGAAGGGGATGGAGTCATGGAAGGGCATGGAGTCATGGAAGGGGATGGAGTCATGGAAGGGGATGGAGTCATGGAAGGGGATGGAGTCATGGAAGGGCATGGAGTCATGGAAGGGGATGGAGTCATGGAAGGGGATGGAGTCATGGAAGGGGATGGAGTCATGGAAGGGCATGGAGTCATGGAAAGGGATGGAGTCATGGAAGGGGATGGAGTCATGGAAGGGGATGGAGTCATGGAAGGGCATGGAGTCATGGAAGGGGATGGAGTCATGGAAGGGGATGGAGTCATGGAAGGGATGGAGTCATGGAAGGGGATGGAGTCATGGAAGGGGATGGAGTCATGGAAGGGCATGGAGTCATGGAAGGGCATGGAGTCATGGAAGGGCATGGAGTCATGGAAGGGGATGGAGTCATGGAAGGGGATGGAGTCATGGAAGGGGATGGAGTCATGGAAGGGCATGGAGTCATGGAAGGGCATGGAGTCATGGAAGGGGATGGAGTCATGGAAGGGGATGGAGTCATGGAAGGGGATGGAGTCATGGAAGGGGATGGAGTCATGGAAGGGGATGGAGTCATGGAAGGGCATGGAGTCATGGAAGGGGATGGAGTCATGGAAGGGGATGGAGTCATGGAAGGGCATGGAATCATGGAAGGGCATGGAGTCATGGAAGGGGATGGAGTCATGGGAAGGGATGGAGTCATGGAAGGGGATGGAGTCATGGAAGGGGATGGAGTCATGGAAGGGCATGGAGTCATGGAAGGGGATGGAGTCATGGAAGGGGATGGATCATGGAAGGGCATGGAGTCATGGAAGGGGATGGAGTCATGGAAGGGATGGAGTCATGGAAGGGGATGGAGTCATGGAAGGGCATGGAGTCATGGAAGGGGATGGAGTCATGGAAGGGCATGGAGTCATGGAAGGGCATGGAGTCATGGAAGGGGATGGAGTCATGGAAGGGGATGGAGTCATGGAAGGGCATGGAGTCATGGAAGGGGATGGAGTCATGGAAGGGGATGGAGTCATGGAAGGGGATGGAGTCATGGAAGGGGATGGAGTCATGGAAGGGCATGGAGTCATGGAAGGGGATGGAGTCATGGAAGGGGATGGAGTCATGGAAGGGGATGGAGTCATGGAAGGGCATGGAGTCATGGAAGGGCATGGAGTCATGGAAGGGGATGGAGTCATGGAAGGGGATGGAGTCATGGAAGGGCATGGAGTCATGGAAGGGGATGGAGTCATGGAAGGGCATGGAGTCATGGAAGGGGATGGAGTCATGGAAGGGGATGGAGTCATGGAAGGGCATGGAGTCATGGAAGGGGATGGAGTCATGGAAGGGGATGGAGTCATGGAAGGGCATGGAGTCATGGAAAGGGATGGAGTCATGGAAGGGGATGGAGTCATGGAAGGGGATGGAGTCATGGAAGGGCATGGAGTCATGGAAGGGGATGGAGTCATGGAAGGGGATGGAGTCATGGAAGGGCATGGAGTCATGGAAGGGCATGGAGTCATGGAAGGGGATGGAGTCATGGAAGGGGATGGAGTCATGGAAGGGGATGGAGTCATGGAAGGGCATGGAGTCATGGAAGGGGATGGAGTCATGGAAGGGGATGGAGTCATGGAAGGGGATGGAGTCATGCAAGGGCATGGAGTCATGGAAAGGGATGGAGTCATGGAAGGGGATGAAGTCATGGAAGGGGATGGAGTCATGGAAGGGCATGGAGTCATGGAAGGGGATGGAGTCATGGAAGGGGATGGAGTCATGGAAGGGCATGGAGTCATGGAAGGGGATGGAGTCATGGAAGGGGATGGAGTCATGGAAGGGCATGGAGTCATGGAAGGGCATGGAGTCATGGAAGGGCATGGAGTCATGGAAGGGGATGGAGTCATGGAAGGGGATGGAGTCATGGAAGGGGATGGAGTCATGGAAGGGCATGGAGTCATGGAAGGGCATGGAGTCATGGAAGGGATGGAGTCATGGAAGGGGATGGAGTCATGGAAGGGGATGGGAGTCATGGAAGGGATGGAGTCATGGAAGGGGATGGAGTCATGGAAGGGCATGGAGTCATGGAAGGGGATGGAGTCATGGAAGGGGATGGAGTCATGGAAGGGCATGGAATCATGGAAGGGCATGGAGTCATGGAAGGGATGGGAGTCATGGAAGGGGATGGAGTCATGGAAGGGGATGGAGTCATGGAAGGGATGGAGTCATGGAAGGGCATGAGTCATGGAAGGGGATGGAGTCATGGAAGGGGATGGAGTCATGGAAGGGCATGGAGTCATGGAAAGGGGATGGAGTCATGGAAGGGCATGGAGTCATGGAAGGGGATGGAGTCATGGAAGGGCATGGAGTCATGGAAGGGGATGGAGTCATGGAAGGGGATGGAGTCATGGAAGGGGATGGAGTCATGGAAGGGGATGGAGTCATGGAAGGGGATGGAGTCATGGAAGGGGATGGAGTCATGGAAGGGGGATGGGAGTCATGGAAGGGGATGGAGTCATGGAAGGGCATGGAGTCATGGAAGGGGATGGAGTCATGGAAGGGCATGGAGTCATGGAAGGGGATGGAGTCATGGAAGGGCATGGAGTCATGGAAGGGGATGGAGTCATGGAAGGGGATGGAGTCATGGAAGGGGATGGAGTCATGGAAGGGCATGGAGTCATGGAAGGGGATGGAGTCATGGAAGGGATGGAGTCATGGAAGGGGATGGAGTCATGGAAGGGGATGGAGTCATGGAAGGGGATGGAGTCATGGAAGGGATGGAGTCATGGAAGGGATGGAGTCATGGAAGGGGATGGAGTCATGGAAGGGCATGGAGTCATGGAAGGGATGGAGTCATGGAAGGGCATGGAGTCATGGAAGGGGATGGAGTCATGGAAGGGGATGGAGTCATGGAAGGGGATGGAGTCATGGAAGGGGATGGAGTCATGGAAGGGATGGAGTCATGGAAGGGATGGAGTCATGGAAGGGGATGGAGTCATGGAAGGGGATGGAGTCATGGAAGGGGATGGAGTCATGGAAGGGCATGGAGTCATGGAAGGGATGGAGTCATGGAAGGGATGGAGTCATGGAAGGGGATGGAGTCATGGAAGGGATGGAGTCATGGAAGGATGGAGTCATGGAAGGGGATGGAGTCATGGAAGGGGATGGAGTCATGGAAGGGCATGGAGTCATGGAAGGGGATGGAGTCATGGAAGGGCATGGAGTCATGGAAGGGGATGGAGTCATGGAAGGGGATGGAGTCATGGAAGGGGATGGAGTCATGGAAGGGCATGGAGTCATGGAAGGGGATGGAGTCATGGAAGGGGATGGAGTCATGGAAGGGGATGGAGTCATGGAAGGGCATGGAGTCATGGAAGGGATGGAGTCATGGAAGGGCATGGAGTCATGGAAGGGGATGGAGTCATGGAAGGGGATGGAGTCATGGAAGGGCATGGAGTCATGGAAGGGCATGGAGTCATGGAAGGGCATGGAGTCATGGAAGGGGATGGAGTCATGGAAGGGGATGGAGTCATGGAAGGGGATGGAGTCATGGAAGGGCATGGAGTCATGGAAGGGGATGGAGTCATGGAAGGGCATGGAGTCATGGAAGGGATGGAGTCATGGAAGGGGATGGAGTCATGGAAGGGCATGGAGTCATGGAAGGGGATGGAGTCATGGAAGGGATGGAGTCATGGAAGGGATGGAGTCATGGAAGGGATGGAGTCATGGAAGGGGATGGAGTCATGGAAGGGCATGGAGTCATGGAAGGGGATGGAGTCATGGAAGGGGATGGAGTCATGGAAGGGGATGGAGTCATGGAAGGGCATGGAGTCATGGAAGGGCATGGAGTCATGGAAGGGGATGGAGTCATGGAAGGGGATGGAGTCATGGAAGGGGATGGAGTCATGGAAGGGCATGGAGTCATGGAAGGGGATGGAGTCATGGAAGGGCATGGAGTCATGGAAGGGGATGGAGTCATGGAAGGGCATGGAGTCATGGAAGGGTATGGAGTCATGGAAGGGGATGGAGTCATGGAAGGGGATGGAGTCATGGAAGGGCATGGAGTCATGGAAGGGGATGGAGTCATGGAAGGGGATGGAGTCATGGAAGGGGATGGAGTCATGGAAGGGGATGGAGTCATGGAAGGGGATGGAGTCATGGAAGGGCATGGAGTCATGGAAAGGGATGGAGTCATGGAAGGGGATGGAGTCATGGAAGGGCATGGAGTCATGGAAGGGGATGGAGTCATGGAAGGGCATGGAGTCATGGAAGGGGATGGAGTCATGGAAGGGGATGGAGTCATGGAAGGGGATGGAGTCATGGAAGGGGATGGAGTCATGGAAGGGCATGGAGTCATGGAAGGGGATGGAGTCATGGAAGGGGATGGAGTCATGGAAGGGGATGGAGTCATGGAAGGGGATGGAGTCATGGAAGGGCATGGAGTCATGGAAGGGGATGGAGTCATGGAAGGGGATGGAGTCATGGAAGGGGATGGAGTCATGGAAGGGCATGGAGTCATGGAAGGGCATGGAGTCATGGAAGGGGATGGAGTCATGGAAGGGGATGGAGTCATGGAAGGGCATGGAGTCATGGAAGGGGATGGAGTCATGGAAGGGCATGGAGTCATGGAAGGGGATGGAGTCATGGAAGGGGATGGAGTCATGGAAGGGCATGGAGTCATGGAAGGGCATGGAGTCATGGAAGGGGATGGAGTCATGGAAGGGGATGGAGTCATGGAAGGGGATGGAGTCATGGAAGGGCATGGAGTCATGGAAGGGCATGGAGTCATGGAAGGGCATGGAGTCATGGAAGGGGATGGAGTCATGGAAGGGGATGGAGTCATGGAAGGGATGGAGTCATGGAAGGGATGGAGTCATGGAAGGGCATGGAGTCATGGAAGGGGATGGAGTCATGGAAGGGGATGGAGTCATGGAAGGGGATGGAGTCATGGAAGGGCATGGAGTCATGGAAGGGGATGGAGTCATGGAAGGGCATGGAGTCATGGAAGGGGATGGAGTCATGGAAGGGATGGAGTCATGGAAGGGATGGAGTCATGGAAGGGGATGGAGTCATGGAAGGGGATGGAGTCATGGAAGGGCATGGAGTCATGGAAGGGGATGGAGTCATGGAAGGGATGGAGTCATGGAAGGGGATGGAGTCATGGAAGGGGATGGAGTCATGGAAGGGGATGGAGTCATGGAAGGGCATGGAGTCATGGAAGGGATGGAGTCATGGAAGGGGATGGAGTCATGGAAGGGGATGGAGTCATGGAAGGGGATGGAGTCATGGAAGGGCATGGAGTCATGGAAGGGGATGGAGTCATGGAAGGGGATGGAGTCATGGAAGGGGATGGAGTCATGGAAGGGGATGGAGTCATGGAAGGGCATGGAGTCATGGAAGGGGATGGAGTCATGGAAGGGGATGGAGTCATGGAAGGGGATGGAGTCATGGAAGGGGATGGAGTCATGGAAGGGCATGGAGTCATGGAAGGGGATGGAGTCATGGAAGGGGATGGAGTCATGGAAGGGATGGAGTCATGGAAGGGCATGGAGTCATGGAAGGGCATGGAGTCATGGAAGGGGATGGAGTCATGGAAGGGATGGAGTCATGGAAGGGATGGAGTCATGGAAGGGGATGGAGTCATGGAAGGGCATGGAGTCATGGAAGGGGATGGAGTCATGGAAGGGGATGGAGTCATGGAAGGGGATGGAGTCATGGAAGGGGATGGAGTCATGGAAGGGGATGGAGTCATGGAAGGGGATGGAGTCATGGAAGGGATGGAGTCATGGAAGGGGATGGAGTCATGGAAGGGCATGGAGTCATGGAAGGGGATGGAGTCATGGAAGGGGATGGAGTCATGGAAGGGGATGGAGTCATGGAAGGGGATGGAGTCATGGAAGGGGATGGAGTCATGGAAGGGATGGAGTCATGGAAGGGCATGGAGTCATGGAAGGGGATGGAGTCATGGAAGGGGATGGAGTCATGGAAGGGATGGAGTCATGGAAGGGGATGGAGTCATGGAAGGGCATGGAGTCATGGAAGGGGATGGAGTCATGGAAGGGGATGGAGTCATGGAAGGGGATGGAGTCATGGAAGGGCATGGAGTCATGGAAGGGGATGGAGTCATGGAAGGGGATGGAGTCATGGAAGGGATGGAGTCATGGAAGGGCATGGAGTCATGGAAGGGGATGGAGTCATGGAAGGGCATGGAGTCATGGAAGGGGATGGAGTCATGGAAGGGGATGGAGTCATGGAAGGGCATGGAGTCATGGAAGGGGATGGAGTCATGGAAGGGGATGGAGTCATGGAAGGGGATGGAGTCATGGAAGGGCATGGAGTCATGGAAGGGGATGGAGTCATGGAAGGGGATGGAGTCATGGAAGGGGATGGAGTCATGGAAGGGGATGGAGTCATGGAAGGGCATGGAGTCATGGAAGGGGATGGAGTCATGGAAGGGGATGGAGTCATGGAAGGGATGGAGTCATGGAAGGGGATGGAGTCATGGAAGGGCATGGAGTCATGGAAGGGGATGGAGTCATGGAAGGGGATGGAGTCATGGAAGGGGATGGAGTCATGGAAGGGATGGAGTCATGGAAGGGCATGGAGTCATGGAAGGGGATGGAGTCATGGAAGGGATGGAGTCATGGAAGGGCATGGAGTCATGGAAGGGGATGGAGTCATGGAAGGGGATGGAGTCATGGAAGGGGATGGAGTCATGGAAGGGCATGGAGTCATGGAAGGGGATGGAGTCATGGAAGGGATGGAGTCATGGAAGGGGATGGAGTCATGGAAGGGCATGGAGTCATGGAAGGGCATGGAGTCATGGAAGGGCATGGAGTCATGGAAGGGATGGAGTCATGGAAGGGGATGGAGTCATGGAAGGGGATGGAGTCATGGAAGGGCATGGAGTCATGGAAGGGCATGGAGTCATGGAAGGGGATGGAGTCATGGAAGGGGATGGAGTCATGGAAGGGGATGGAGTCATGGAAGGGGATGGAGTCATGGAAGGGATGGAGTCATGGAAGGGGATGGAGTCATGGAAGGGCATGGAGTCATGGAAGGGCATGGAGTCATGGAAGGGGTGGAGTCATGGAAGGGGATGGAGTCATGGAAGGGCATGGAGTCATGGAAGGGATGGAGTCATGGAAGGGGATGGAGTCATGGAAGGGCATGGAGTCATGGAAGGGGATGGAGTCATGGAAGGGGATGGAGTCATGGAAGGGGATGGAGTCATGGAAGGGGATGGAGTCATGGAAGGGCATGGAGTCATGGAAGGGGATGGAGTCATGGAAGGGGATGGAGTCATGGAAGGGCATGGAGTCATGGAAGGGGATGGAGTCATGGAAGGGGATGGAGTCATGGAAGGGGATGGAGTCATGGAAGGGGATGGAGTCATGGAAGGGCATGGAGTCATGGAAGGGGATGGAGTCATGGAAGGGGATGGAGTCATGGAAGGGGATGGAGTCATGGAAGGGCATGGAGTCATGGAAGGGCATGGAGTCATGGAAGGGATGGAGTCATGGAAGGGGATGGAGTCATGGAAGGGGATGGAGTCATGGAAGGGATGGAGTCATGGAAGGGGATGGAGTCATGGAAGGGGATGGAGTCATGGAAGGGGATGGAGTCATGGAAGGGATGGAGTCATGGAAGGGGATGGAGTCATGGAAGGGCATGGAGTCATGGAAGGGATGGAGTCATGGAAGGGGATGGAGTCATGGAAGGGGATGGAGTCATGGAAGGGGATGGAGTCATGGAAGGGATGGAGTCATGGAAGGGCATGGAGTCATGGAAGGGGATGGAGTCATGGAAGGGATGGAGTCATGGAAGGGGATGGAGTCATGGAAGGGATGGAGTCATGGAAGGGGATGGAGTCATGGAAGGGGATGGAGTCATGGAAGGGCATGGAGTCATG